CCAGCTCATCCACAAGCACCAATCTCCAGCCAAATCTCCAGTTTATATAGTGGGCATGACTCCCTCCCTCTTTGGAGGGAGTGCTCCAGAATGCTCATAGGCACTGCTGTGCTGCGAAACACCCTGCTGACAAGCAATCAGTGCCCCTCAAAACAAGGGCTGACCTCCATGGACAAACTGGAAGCCAAATAAGACTATGAAAGTCAGTCTCATTAGCCTCACTAGTTTCCTTAGTGTCATTATTAATTTCAAAGCTTGTGATCTAATATCTACTATTAGAGGCAGGGACTTTAAACAGAATGGCACTTCAAATGTGCAAAAGGGACAGCTTATGACCAAGACTCAAAAGGCAACCACATTCATGCTCAGGTGGGTGACTCCAACTCAGTCTTTTACATGCAGATTGCTTAGGGAAAATGAGTTTCATTTTTGGCACTACTGTGTGGCACACTCTTGTCAGTACACAGAACTAAATATATCTGAAATCCTCTATGTCATCAAGATTCAAGGAGAGAATGTTTTACAGTGGCATCTTCCACATCACCAGTGGGAAGAAATAATTCTGTTCTAGCACAGGGTGCGTCATACAGCACACGCCTACGTTTTATAGGCATGGGATGATGAACACCCACAGGAGATAACTTTAAACCAACTGTATGAGCATAATAGCTTTGTGGGGGTTAGCATCACAGTCTATTTCTGCATTTCCAACGGCAGCAGGTAGGCTTCCCAGCCAGAGCTTGCCGTTACCATGGCTACATTGCCAGCCATCCCCAATCTAGCTAGTTTGAAGCTATTTGGCTAAGCCTGCATTAGCCGCAGACATTTTAGTGGCTGCAGTGTGGACATATTCATAGCAATATGAAGGACTTTCAGAAAGATTGCAAAATAGCCATGTAATCTGTGTTTTAAATGCCTACTATTGCCACTGATGGAATGAGGACAGGCGCTGCGAGGCAGAGGGGTGAGCAACTTTCCTGAGTAAGGCAAAATGTGAGGGAGTGCTGCAAAGCAGCATAGATTGTTTCAGATCGACTTGATACAACAGGAGAGACAAAACCACAACAATGAGAATTTTATGTCTTTAAAACTGCATACTGGTTTCTCTATAGTCCATTGTTTATTCAAGTCTAGAGCTTCATATGAAAAGAACTGATTTCTGTATGTCTGGCACCACAGATAAGCTTAATTTTTCTTTTTTCAATTAATGATTTGTAGTTATAAAAAAAGGTAACATCATTATACAGAGCAGTTAAATTGTTAGACACTTAAGTTAAATTGTAGGCACAAACAAAACTACTGTTCAGTCTCTATCTGAATTTCTTTTTCTTTCCATGTTATCTTCTCTGATCCTGGAATTAGTACAGTGAAGCATCAAGTAACAATGTCCTATCATTCCCTTGCTTGCTGCACACCACATTTGTACTTATTTCAGCACTACTCTATCTCTGTAGCCTGAAAAATCACTGGACATTGCATATATTCAGGTTGCATTCCCTTGGAAATAAATAATTTATTGTTACCTACTCTATAAATATCCGCTGCACCAGCCACCCAGTAACCATAACGGTAAGCTGCTTTAATTGAAGAAGAGACCAATGGTCTCAATTGTATTATACTGTCTCTTAATAGATTACCTTAACAGCTCTGACAGACTGCTTAAGTAAGTTATTGTCTCTGTTCAGAGTGAAATATTTTCAAATTAAGATTACTTGTAAGTACATTTCCTTCAAAACGATTATACAGCCAGATTAATTTCTGTGGTCATGCTCACTGAAACTACCAAAAAAGGCAGTGTTATGACTTCGTCTTTAATGGGAAATAGGGCACTGAAGATGCTCTCTCTTTATCCACACATTTCCCGTTACCAAGAATTAATTGGAAAGCTGCTTGGCAATGTTTCCAGGGGGTCCATTTTCTGTATGCTGCACTTACAGGAATAAATTCCCTTCCTCACTCAAAAGACAGAATGCTCACACACACCTTCTCAGCTAGAATTACTGTGAGACTGAAAAAAAGAGGAGGTGCCAAAACCCACTACAGAGCTGCTCCCAAAACCAGGTGTCAAACATGGGGCGAGCCAGCACGAGAAAGTTAACGTGTGGATTTCTCCACACAGCACATTTCACACATCCTAACAGAATTAAATCATAGCAGCTGATACACTTTTCAAGTCACATCCATACTTATTGTCTAGCTTAAATCTGCAGATGCACTAAAGAAATGAATTAATTACAGTCCATGGAAATTCCTGACGCAGTGTCTGAACATAGTTTTAGAACTTTGAAATACAAAGATATCTAAATGCCCATAACACCATGAAAGAAAGGGACGAACTGTTTTAATACTACCCCTCAGTCTTTAAGAGCCAAGAAAATACTGGGGCTTATGTTAAAGGTAGACCAGAAATTTGTAACTCTAATATCAGTGAACAGAAGAACTTAAATGTCAACTGAAACACAGATGGTCTCTCCCTCAGAAACAGATTTTGCTGCCATGCAGTTTGTTCAGACATCATGACTAGTTAATCTAGTTACTAATGTGTTCTTCATAAGCCTCACCTTTGCTACTACTTGAATGTCTTAATTTATATGATTTTAAATTCATATTTCATGGCAAATTTCTATAGTTGCCCAGTGATTTTATGTCCATTGATTTTTAATTTATTAATACTATTTTTCTTTATATTATCGCTGTAAAGTAACATCCTATACTGCCTGCACAGTTTTATATTTGCACCTTGTTGTCAACAGGCAGAATTTTACAACTAGAGGGTGCTGGAGGACCATAATGTGGTATGGTATGCAAAACTCTCAATGACCTTTAGTGGAGAGAAGGAAAATAAAATAAATCAATTATTACAGCTCAGTAGGACAAGCTAATATATTCTGAGGTAATACAGATACTGCAATATTATCTAGTGTAAGTGAAAAGAAAATTAATACTTTACAGCTGACACTGTTCTATTGCAAATTTTGCTTCAAATTTGCTGTTAAACTTTGCTTCTGTCCTTAGGTTTTGTACTGTAATGAACGAAAAGCTTTTATCTTAACAAGACACATTCCTTTTGCTTCCTTTCGTGTGAGTTGGAAAGCAATTACAGTGTATTATTGATTAAATGCTTTATAATAAAACACAAAAGCCATCAAGTAAGCAGGAAAGCAAGAAGGAACAAAGATTAATTTAACAATAAAATCTATAATTGGGATTATACAGATAGAATGTGAACATTAATTACAGATAAACCATTTAATAAGAGTTCTAACAAGAAAATGATCTTCCAAAATTCATATAGTTTCCAGCACAGGGTAATTATTTTCTTGCCTTCCAGTACCGTAAGAAAAAATACAAGTATGAGAATAAATAATGTCTATAAATATAGCACTCTGATTGTATGCATAAAAATTACCCCTCCCTTTCTTCATCTCCTTGACTTAGCATTATTGCTTCTTACAGTCTCTTACAAGTCATCTTCAACAGACAGAAACATTGAAACTTTGAACTAAACCCTAAAGATATCACTCTCCCCCCCCCCCGCCTCGTGCAACATGGCTCAGTAACATCTGGGATTTCCTTTCCATTTCCTCGGATCAGAAAGAAACCCAAAGAACAAATTGTGGCCACCTCGTAAAGTGACTCCCTGAAATCTCCATGAGGAAGTGGCCAGGAGGCTGCTGGAAAGCACGTGACCATAATTCCAAGAGCAAATCTTTTCAACCCAAACAGGAATCACTGCAACCGGGCTGTTGATCACAGAGTGGCAGATCCTCCAGAGGCCCAGTGAAGCAAGCACGGTGTGCTTCCCTCTTTTGACAGTTTCACTTCTGACCTTCTGGTTATGCAGGCTCACCATTTGTAGACAGCATTCATGTGGTGGGCAATATCCAAGTGATCTAACAGTCCACTTGTGCCCTGTATTGGCTCAACACATCCTGGATGAGCCAGAAATGTAGCACAAGTGGGATTGTGCTATATAAAACACAATCCCACTATATAAGGGATTGTGCTGTAGAAGGTTTCACACATTTCAGTCAATCCTTTCCTAGCCTATGAGGAGCCAATAATTCGTATTTCCTCTTATGAAATGCTGTCTTATTTTCAGATTTTAACTAACTGTCGTGCCTCAGCTTAACAACTGGAGACATATTTTCCTATGGCATGCTTTCAAGGGTTGAGGCCCAGTCCCAGTGCTTTCCCACGGAACACACACTGCTCGGATGCCCACATAAAAGTAACTTTCTTTTGGCTGCATTTCACCTCATGACTCCCTTAGAAAGGCACGTACCCTGGCACCCACAGGAGACCCCAGGTCCTGCCTTACACACCCCGGGGAGATCGAGTTTAGGTAGTCTCCACATCATAGGGTTTCCTCTGGAAAATGGACAGCAGTCTCCTATCAGGATTGTTTCATGCATAGGACCATATCATCCAAAAAGTAGCAGCCAAATTAATGAGGTGCAGGTGAGGGCAGCCACTAATTAACACATAGATACAGGGGCTCATAACATATTTGAGTCTCAGACATCTGGATACATCTTCACTTCTGCTGGCTAGGTGTTCGCTTTGGTCATCTGTGCTACAACAGGCAAACAAAAAAATGTATGAATAATGGTAAAAATGGGATTTAATCTTGACAACAACTGGTTTGTTTAAACTGAAAACTTTCAAGGGGATAAACAAAACAAATCAAGTAAGATGTATCCAACACAACAATAAAAAAATGGTGACATATATTGCAGGCTTGCCAGGCACTACGGAAGATGAGCCAGAGGCCAGAGTAATGTAGAAAAGGATAATATAACCTGATGCTGAACTGCATGTTGTGATGTTTGTCCAAAACTCCTAATACCTTTAGTCTAGAAAGTAACCTGCTTGGTTTTAACGTATTGTGTCTAGTTTGTGTCTAAGGAAACAGCAGTCAAGATTTGGCCCAATGTTTTATTGTCAGCATATCCTCACACACTTAAGTGTGCCTGCTTGATGGATACAATTGTCTTTACTTTTTACCCCTAAATGAGCTGATTTTACAAAATTAGTAATTCTCTGACCTTTATTTTTCCACATAGACAAGATCAGCTTATTCAATGCTGCCTTCGCTTACAAAGCCTAAATAATATGAATTACATCTTAGCTTTTCCTTCAACAGTGCCTTCTAAAATTATACAAGAACAGGATGGTTTTTTTTGTTTCTCTCTGGAAGTCAGCAAAAAAGCTGTTAAATACTACATATACTAGAATACTGATTTTAGTAATACTCAACGTGCACATCAGTTTCATTGTCAGAAACACTTTAAATCTTTGTATGTTACTAATAACTGAAGAGCATTATTCAGCGTTATAATGTAGTATGCATTGTCCTTCATATATATTCCTAAAGCAGGATGTATGCTGTACATTTATATACAACGTTGGTCGGAGCACAGACATTGCAGTGTCATGCTTTCATTCAAATTTCAGATGCCATATGTTCAGTACAATCGCATGGCATCGAGATGCAACATATTGCTTTGAAAATGCAAATTATTTCACGCAGTGGCCTTCATGACCGGGAAGAGGTAATGAAATGGGATATATTTTACACATATGAAAAAATAAATTAAAGATTTATCATAAATATATGGACCAGTATATGACATTGAAGAACAAGAAGCAAAAAGGGAACAGTGCTCTTGCATAAAGATCGATTCTCTTTGCTGCCGATGGAATGACAGGTTTGGGAGGAGGAGGCTTCTTGTTGTTCTTGGCTTGAGATTTCCCGAGCCCATTGTTGACTTCAATGGGCTTCCCGTAACAGTCATAATTCGACAATTCAAAATCCCTTGGCAAGCTTCCAACGATGCTGAAATCATTGGATCTCAGATCAGACTTCGAAGTGCAAACTTTTTTGCATCTGGTCTCACCAACCTATGAAATAAAGAGTGGGGGAATCATGATCTACTCACCATATTTCATTAACAAACTTAATGCAGCTGCTAGAGAACACTGCAAACAAACATACAGGAAATTACTTGTTGATAGCGATACATTACATCAGCCTAATTTGCTGAATGGTTGCATTATAAAGCACTTAAGGATGATCAGTCAATCATATAAACTAATCCAAACATTCATAATTGTGTAATTTTTCATGCACAAGGTGCCTCATGCTGTGCAACCTGCTATAGTTAGATTCCTTCATTTTAAGATGATAGAAAGGGGGAAAATACTTCTATAGAGAGTATTCTTGGAAATCAGCCCTGTGCTGTTGAACCTGCAGGACAGATACTATTCAACACATTTTTCTGAAGCCTGGAAGCCATAGAAGGAATTAACCCTAAAGACCAGTGTTAGATGCAATAACTGAAGTCTGTTCTGAGTGTACATAGTAGCCAGCTCAATATCCTCTATCTGATCCTAGGGTCACAACCTTGCATGACGAGAAGGCACTTTCTTTGGACTCGCAGTCGTTGGTGCCTTTCTAGAGACAGGTAACAAGAATGCAACGCCCTTCTCATCACTTCCCATGAGTACACTAAGGAATAGAGTAACTGGGAATTCTAAATCAAACAGCTTCATACCTGTCTTTCAACAGCTCCATCAGTGCTTTTGGGGATCAAGTACCTCTGTGCTATGAGGTAATCAGAGGTGAATCACTCTCTTTTATAGACCAGACAATCATACTGGCACAGACAACGAACACTTAAAAGAAAAAAGTATTTGGTGCCTTTCCAACTGAAGTGTTTTGGGGAAAAATAAAGTTCCTATACTCCCTTCCTTGGATTTTGTAAATTTCATATTTCAGGTACACCAAATCTATGGGAGGATCACCCCCACACAGTTCAGGGAGCTTGAAGAGATTTGGAGTGCAAGACACTGTACTTTGTGACTTGGGCAAATCTCTCCCAAAGTTTCTTTTCAATTGGACTATACAGTAAAGCAGGGGAAAAGAATAAGAGGAAAAAAAAAGGGAAGAAAAAAGAATACAGGTTATGAGGTTATGAAACTTAACTGCATTATTAATAATGCTGTTTGTTCACATATAATAACCTGAGAGTTAGTTGGAAAAAACGCTGGTTCACAGTGAGGTTATACACATGGGCAACTGCCATTAGCATAAGTTTCACTAGGGCTACCTGAGCCACCAGTCCATGGAAACTTGGTTCTTCCAAAAGCTGCCTGTCCCTCCTTCCCCGCAGCCTGTCTCTCCTGCACAATGCCCTCAGGCATCTTACTCTCGGCTCTCTCCACCTTTGGCTTTTTGCAGTCTTAGGCTAATAGTCTGGGCTGTTTGCATCATCGCATTTTATTACAAAAATAGTAATAATGAAGTACAATACCAGACTTACAGAGGAAGTAAAAACATTTGGGAGAATATTATTAGCTTCTCTGTGACAACTGAGAAAGTATCTTTGATGAAAAGAACTGAAGCAGCCAAGAAGAGACTTAAACTTCAACTGAAGCTTTTACTGTCACTGCTGACATTGCTGATTCTAGTGCAAAGTGGAAGAGAAGCACGGCACTGTTCCCTCAGCAAAGACTGAATACACCTCCCCAGATTTCCCAGACCTATATTTCTCAGGAAAACAGTACATTTTGAAACCAATGCACTAAACTGAGGTGCAGGTTACACAGCAAAACCAAGATTACAGGTTATAAAAATAAAAACAAGATAGGTGTTCCATGGCAGTAAGGCAAAACTATACATACAAAATCCCTGCAACTGTTTCCCAGTAATCAAAGTGCTGACAGCTTGGGACAGTGTTCAGTATTGGACCAGCAGTGGCAAACTGTCCAGTCAGGTGGTGATAGAGACATGTATGACCACGATTATGTGACCCTGGGTGACATGGGGGCTGTCAGTCAGTGATCCAAGAAGTCCATTTCAATTGGATCATACCCAGTGATATGGGTAATGAAGACATAAAACAGAGCCTTGTGCAATGAAAGGTTAACTTGCAGGACATGTTAGCTGAAGAGTCCCAGAGTGTTACAATTTTCCATGGTAAAAATGAGTAAGATTTAATATGGTCATTAAATTAAGAACTAGAATCATGTATGAAATTATAAGCCTCCTTTTGGATTTGCAAACTTGTAGTCCATTTCTCATACTGCCAGAGATGTATTTTAAAACTCAGTGACACTAATTGTAGTCTAAGCCATCTCATTTACAATACAGAATATTCCTGTTGCAACTGCAGTGTCTAGAGAGTGCTCCCCTGAAGGCAGCTATAAGTCAGTTCTCATTCACTTTCAGGACAGAGAATGGAGGGAACGGCTTCTAGGTCACCTCTGCCTTATAAGCAGAGGACTCTTCACAGCATGTTCACACAGAGCTCTGCTTAGTTTAGTACCAATTTATCAGGGTGACACAATTTCCTTTGTAAGAGCAACCTGGCCCAAATTTTTATTTAAGAAGTATGTGATACTTTAAAAGATAATCCCATTTCCCTAGGTTTACAAATCTAACGCACCTCTATTAGCTATATTCAGTTTCTGCCTACACGTATCGTTAAACTTCTTTTCATACATCTCTTCAACTATTCAATTATTCTGTTGCTTTAATCTAAATTTGCTTCAGTTGACCTACAACTTTCCTGAAATAAAGTGAGATACTACATATTACTATATATAATATGCTTTTGATTATTTCAATAATATATATTAATATGCTTTTTATTCATCCTGTCTTGGTTTGTGCTAGAAGCATAACAATATTCCTGACACTTACCAAAGGCTACAGGTGCCCTTTTGTGGAAAATGATACCATAGGACTTTATTTTAGAGCACTATACTGAAGACTTGTAGAGAAAGTAAAACACTGTTAAATGTTTGACTTTATCTTGACACAGAACTTGGCCCTGGAAAATATTTGCTTTCATTTGCCTTATCCTGCTGCAGCACCACGACCCATGGGCCAGACCCAGCCCACAGGGTGCTTCTACCAGCTTTTCCCCTGTAGGGGATGAGGAGCAGCTGTTTGGGAAAGGAAGGCTGCTGGAACAGTGCAGCACACCCCCCATCCCTGATGGAACTGGGGAGCTGTTTCTTGTCGCCCTGGTGCAGAGGTGGGGGGGGCAAGGAGGGCATGGAAAAGCGAGGTGGCTCTCGGGGCTTGGCCCAAAACACAGACCTAGTTCCTGTTTCTGCCAGGACTGGGCCAGCTTCTCTAGGTTTATATGTTGGGCAGTACACCTGCATTTCGATGAACCCAAAATACCTACAAATGGCTTCTAGAAGCCAGAAGACCCCTGCAATGATCCCTTCTCACCTTTTACAACATCCAGGCTGACCAGTGCTTGCTGCCAAGATCAGCACCTGCCACTGCTGCTGCTGCAGAGCTGCAGTGTGATAAGAAGAGCTGCTTATGCATGCAGACTGGCGGGGAGGGGGAACTAACTTCCCATCACTGACTCTGCTGCTTCTGGTGCTCTTCTCACTTGCACATTTACAGCCCAAACTAGTTACACTAGATTTTCCTTTAAAAACATCCAGGATGGAGAATTTTTTCCATGACCTTATTCCCCACAAACATATGTACCTTATTTCTAACCTGAATTTATTTGGCTTCAATTTCCAGTCAAAAGGCATGACTATAGTTACTCTGATTAACTGCTGGTACTTACAGATGGTAACAAATCTAACCTTGATTTTGCATAACTCAGATGATGTAACCAGGCCAACATATGAAGCCAAGTCAAATGTTCTTAAGAGTTTCTTACCTCCACATCATTACCACTGTCAACCTAATTCATGATATTTTAAAAAATTCTATTCAGTTTGATTAAATCAATAAACACACAGATCAGCTTTAATTTCACTGACCCATTTGAATCTATTAGCTAACTCGCGGCTGAATTGTGAATAATATTAGTGATAACACTTATGAATAATAATTATCAGTCAGCCCCCTGTTAGCTATGCAATATTTTCCACTGATTGATGTCAGGCTTATAATTATTCAAGTAATGCCACTTAGCCTTTAAAAGTACTGGCACAAAGTTAGCTACTTGCTGTCTTCTGGAGCCCTCCCAGTTTTAGAGGATTTATTAAAAAATCAACATTAACATTTCACAACACTGACGGACTAAGCTATTTAAAGAATCCTAGATGAAACTTAAGCTGAAATCTTGATTGTAAAATGTCTAACATTAATAGCTGCTGTTTAAAATCCTCATTAGCTCCTGTCAAGGAAAGCTATTTCATCATCTGATTGAACATATCTGGCTTCTCCCCAAACACAGAGCAGAATGTTTGTTCAACACTTTTTGCCTTTTCTGCTAATTCTTGATACTTACAATATCTCTATCTAGTATTGGACCAATAGTCCTGTTGCTGGTTTTTGTATTCTTGCTATACATGCAAAGTAACTTCCTATTGCTCTCAGTTATGCTACCTATCTATCCCTTTTGTTACATACACCTATTATCTACACCTATTTTCTGGATTTTGACTTATATTAATTGCTATCAAAGAGAAATGCCTGAAGTTGAGTTAGTTTTCAGTCTTTGGGGAGTTTTTTTTTCAGTTGTGCTGGGCTTTTTTGTTTTTTAATTAGTCTGGCTTACCTTCTGGTCTGTATCTGCTTTAGATGTTGTTACATAGCATCAGTATCACCAGCATAATTCATATCTTTTTGTTTAAATTATTCATCCAAAATAGAAAAAATAGTTCTCAAATTGGTGAAATCTGTCCTTTCACAGCACCAAAAATACCACGACTAATCTAAAATTGTTTTGTGCAAATAGAACAAAGATCCTTTTCAATGGACTGTTCATCCTGTGATCCAGCCCTCTTTATCCATCAGGATGAAGTGTAATATAAAATGCATTATTTTGAAATCAAGAATTTCTGAGAGCAGAAATATATTACCCATACTTTTGAGCAAAGCTTCGAAGACGCGATAGCACTGGCAGCCTTTCATGCTC